CTATGTGCACTTGAAAAGAATATGTATTCTCCTGTTTTAGGATGGAATGTTCTGAATATATCTGTTAAGTCCACTGGGTCCAGTGTGTCATTCAAAGCCATTGTTTCTTTGTTGAATTTTTGTTTGGATTATCTGTCCATTGATGTAAGTGGGTTGTTAAAGTTCCCTACTATTATTGTATTATTATCCATTAGCTCCTTTATGTTTGTCATATCTGTTTTACATACTTAGGTGCTCCCATATTGGGTGCATAAATATTTATTATATCTACTTGTTGGATTTTTCCCATTATGATTATATAATGCCCTTCTTTGTCTCTTGTTACAGTCTTTGTTTTAAATTCTGGTCTGTGTGATAGAAGTATTGCTCCTCGGGGTTTCTTTTTTTTATTTTTTTTTAAATTTTTTTTTAATTTTTATTTATTTATGATAGTCAGACAGAGAGAGAGAGAGAGAGGCAGAGACACAGGCAGAGGGAGAAGCAGGCTCCATGCACCAGGAGCCTGATGTGGGATTCGATCCCGGGTCTCCAGGATCGGGCCCTGGGCCAAAGGCAGGCGCCAAACCGCTGCGCCACCCAGGGATCCCCCCTCGGGGTTTCTTTAGACATCCCTTTGCCTGATAAATATTTTTCTATCTCTTCACTTTCAATCGGCAGGTGTCTTTAGGTCTAAAATGCATCTTTTGCAAGCAGCATATAGATAGGTCTTATTTTTTAATCTCTTCTGACACCCTATATCTTCTGGTTGACACATTTAGTCCATTTACATTCAGAATAATTATTGGTTTGTGTGCATTTATTACTTTTTTGGTCATTGTTTCTCAGATTTTCTCTGATTCTTTCTTGTCTTTGTCACTGCTGGTCTCTCTTTTGCACCCAAAGAGTCTCCTTGAATATTTCCTGCAGACCTGGTTTAGTGGATATGAACTCCTTTAGTTTTTGTTTGAGAAAGTATCTCTCCTATTCTGCATGTTAGTTTTGCTGGATAGAGTATTCTTGACTATAGATTTTTCTCATTCAGCACTTTGAATATATCATGCCACTCCTTTCTGGCCTGCCGAGGTTCTGTTGAGAAATCTGCAGTTAGACTTACGAGTCTTCCCTTACAAATTAAGGACTTCTGTTTTGCTACTTTTAAGATTTTTTCTTTTTCACTATACTTTGCAAATTTAATTATAATATGTATTTTTGTTGGCCTGCTTTTCATGATTTTGATAGGAGTTCTCTGCCTCCTGGATCTGAACATCTGTCTCCTTTCCCAGATTAAGAAAGTTTTCAGCTATTATTTCTTCAACTAAATTTTCTGCCCCCTTTTCTCTCTTTTTTGTTTGAAAAAGATGAAATGATGCAGTCATTGAGTTCCCTAAATCTATTCTTATATTCCATTAATTCTTTCTCTCTTTTTTACCAGCGTCATTATTTTCCATTATTTTATCTTCTGGATCACTAAATCATTCCTCTGCTTCTTCAAGCCTGCTGTTGATTGCATCAAGCTTGTTTCCAATCTCATTTATTGTATTATTCATCTCTGACTGACTCTTTTAAACTCTTTTATCTCTGTAGTAAGAGTCTCACTAATGTCCTGTATTATTTTCTGAGGCCTAGTGAGTATTCTTATGATTATTCCTTTAAATTCTCCATCAGGCATGTTATTTATGTTTCTCTTAGATCTATGGCTGTGGCCTTCTCTTGTTCTTTCATTTGGGATAAATTCCCCTGTCTTGACATTTTGTCTTAGTGTCTGTCTTCTTCTTTGTGTTGGAATGGCCAGTTATGTCTCCTGCTCTGAAAGTAATGGTCTTATGAAGAAGAGGTCATATAGTGCAGGGCCTGGCACTTCAGGGAGTGTTTCTGGTATGTGCTTTGTACACTCTGCTGTAATATTTTGGCTGCAGATCCTTCAGGCCAATCATCTGCATAGGCTCTCCTTGTCTGCTATGTTCAGTGTTTTGTACCCGGCATGAATGTGGTGAGTTTTTACTCACTGTGCTCTGGTCTGCTTGTGAAATGAGACCTGACACCAACTCCATCAGGACCGAGGCCCTACAGAACTCTCATCAGGAGATGTGGTGTGAGCAAGGATTTATGCTGGTCTTCTGGAGGAAGGGCTCAATTTGCTGGTACTGAGGTAAGCTTGACTTAGAAGGACAACCCCATCAAAGTGCAAGCAGGTAGGCTTGGTATAAGCAAGTTAGGCACTCAATGTCCCTGCTGAGCTGCTTACTACAGGTGGCTCTCTGTTTATGTTGAGTGGTAGGGGTAGGAAATTGTGTCAGCCAGGTCCCTTCTTCCCAGAAGCCTTTCTGTAAAAGCTGCCTCTCAGGGATGTGCTCTGAGAAGAATGTATAAACTCCCCACTGTGTGCTCCTGGGCATACTTCAGATCTTTGTTGCCATGCCTTCTGTCCCCAGGTTCTTTGCCTGCCTTCTCTCTAGAAGTGGAGCAGTGCTCTCAGGGCTCTAGCTTGGCCAAACCAGATGTCCTTTAAAACTAAGCTTTAGGGCAGCCCGGGTGGCTCAGTAGTTTAGCACCTACCTTCAGCCTGGGGTGTGATCCTGGAACCCCGGGATCGAGTCCCATGTCAGGCTCCCAGGATGGAGCCTGCTTCTCCCTCTGCCTGTGTCTCTGACTCTCTCTCTTTCTCTCTCAAGAATAAATAAATAAAAATCTTTAAAAAAATAAAACTAAGCTTTAAGCCCTGTTGGTTGCAAGGTCTGACTAAATTCAGTCCTTCTCATTTTCCAAGCCAATGGCTTTGGGAAAATATTCTCCATGTGGGTTTCCCTGTGTGCTCCTCTCTCTCTCACTCTTCTCAGTGACCATGGCTCTCCCCTCCACAGCACCCAGAATCTGTTTCTCCCCTAAATCACATCTCCACATTTCCTGCCTTTAATGTGGCCACTTGTCTCCCTTTAGTTGTGGAGTTTGTTCTTTCAGTCTTCAGGTTGATTTCTGGGATATATAGGATGATTTGATAGTAATCTAGTTGTGTTCACTAGAATAGAGGAACCTGGAGTCCTCCCACTCTGCTGCCATATTCCTCTTCTCTACTGCCACTGTTTTTTATTTCTGCCCATTGTATTTCTATCCACCACCTCCTGGTGAGGATGGAGATGTAATCCGCGTTGACCTCTCCCCCTCTTTGCACTGTTATCATTGTGTTCACTCACTCTATTCCTCTTTCCTTTCATTTCCACTTCTCATCTTTTTCCATGTTACAATTTAGCAATGAGTGGGTGCAGGGTCAAAATTAAGGAAGATTGTCTCACGAAACCATTCTGATTACTTTAAAGCATTGCAGTATTAAGTGATGTTGATTGTTACTTATTTTATTTCTTTGTTTGGTTTTCTTATATGTAGAAAGAAATGACTAGGAACATGGGTATTAGGTTGGATTCTGAAGTGAAATTTTTAACATAAAAATCTCTTAATACCATGATAATTCCAGTTTATAGTAATGGAAGATGACTAAAATTGTATTGATTCATATTTTTAACTTGTTGTAACTCCCAATTTATGCATGCTGTTACTATAGTAAAGCATTCAAAAAGTACATGATATTTTATTTATTTATTTTTCTAGGGCCTCCCCACAATTTCTGTTTTGGTCAACACAGGAAATATCTACCACGGACATACATACAAATGACTATAAATGTGTAGTCATATATCAGGAAATTGAATCTTCAGTTATCTTCCTCCACATTAGTTTGTCTTTATAAAAAAATTTATGCAAGGTGCTTTGTACAGTGAGTGACCCTCCTATCTCTGTAAGCAATATATTACTCATAAACACTTACTTAGAAAGTGAATATAGGAGGTGAGGTCCTAACATATCTCTTAATGTACTTTCCTCTTATACTGAAGATATGGCACTCATATACCTTTGATTTTATACAACCATCTTTAATATATTCTCTCTTGCTGTCAGAACACATGTACTGTGTTTTTTTTGAGAAGTATGTTCACCATATATTTTGCTCCTAGTTCTTTAATTAAGCACAGATGGAGCAAGTAGGCAGAAATAAAGGCCTGTATCTTGCCACTGACACCAGAACTGTATCCTTTTCCACTCATCATTCCCCAAAGGAGCAAGTACCAGACTGGTATAATCACTAACAATTCTTTTGCAGCATTTACCTACCTAACATGACTTCACAAAGGGTCTTCCAACCCTGGGACCTAAACATTCATTTTGATGCTGGAAGTTCTATTACCCCACTGGAATTTTGGTCACATTGCTTAAGGCTCTGTCCCTACAACATTACAACATTCAAATATTTTTTAAGTTTTGTCATTGCCATATATACTATAGTGTAGATTGAATGAGTGGGCTTGTCTTGGAAGTTTTGATTTGATTAAAAGGCTATGAATAACTTTAAGACTCTATAGAGAGAAGCTGGGCTCAACACTGAAAGTGAGCAATACAGGAGAAAAGGGAGGTAGAAATAGAGAACAATTATTATTGTTCATTCACTCAGGTAGCATTTATTGTCAGTGCCAAGGACTTGTGCATCTAGTCACATATGGACAAGTGCTAATGGATGGCAGTAACTGACTCTATATATTCTTTTGGTTTATTATTTTGATATTGTTAATTTTTAAGAGATTATCTAGTTCCAGGAAAATTATTTTTGTCAAGTGTCATTTTAGTTAGTTTATAATTTCTTTTTTTTAATTTTTATTTATTTATGATAGTCGCAGAGAGAGAGAGAGAGAGGCAGAGACACAGGCAGAGTGAGAAGCAGGCTCCATGCACCGGGAGCCCGATGTGGGATTTGATCCCGGGTCTCCAGGATCGCGCCCTGGGCCAAAGGCAGGCGCCAAACTGCTGCGCCACCCAGGGATCCATAGTTTATAATTTCTTATTTGAATTATAAATTGAAATGTTGCTATTATGATATATCAAAAAGTAAGATAAAATAATTTGAACACTAGCATTTATATATGATTTATTATATACATTTTCTTAAGGTTTTCTATATTTTTTCATTCTTACAGCAAAGAGAATTTTGAGTCTTCATATGAGGTAAGTGCAAAAATAGTTGACAATTAAATATAGTTGATAACAAAGCAGATTCATATTTTTGCTCATGATATTGTTTTAGTTTGGTACCTTTATTAGACTGGAAACACAGATTAGTGTGCCTTTAAAATGATAGAACTATTTATATATTTGTAATGGCTATAAAAAGTAACAATAATTGGGGTGCCGAAATGGCTCAGTTGGTTGAGCTTCAAACTCTTGATTTCAGCTCAGATCATAACCTTAGGGTTGTGTAGTTGAGTGCCACATTGGGCTCTGTGCTCAGTGTGGCATCTACTTGAGCTTCTTTCTCTCCCACTCCCTCTCCCTCTGTCCCTTCCCCCACTGTCTTTCTCTCTCTCTTTAAAATAAATAGATAAAATCTTTAAAGTAATAATAATAAAAGTAATTATTCATGCAAAAATATTTTATCAGCTGTCAAAAAGTATATTTTATCAGCTGTCATTTATGATTTAATTTGTCTTTGCTTATCAAAACATATAAAATTTCATTGACCACATATTCCCTGCTTTAGAAAATTGAAATCTACATTAATTAATTAAATAGCAAATTTAGTTTTAATGTATTTTGAAACCTTATGTGACTTATGCCAAATAGATAGCAACCTAAAGTAAATTTTTTCCAAGTATTAATTCTATTATATATGCATATTTTGTTAATAATTACTTTTAATTGAATGAGTCATCAAATGAAAGAACTGATTTCAATGTAATAAAAAAGCACACTGGCTTCTTTTGTGTTTTTTCTTTATTTCCAATGTATTCATATACTGCATTCATTACAGTAATTCAGTAAGCCCTAGATTGCATTAAGTACTGACTTCAATTCAGCTTCTCACTTAAAATTAGTTGAAGCTTCTCACCAGAGGGGAGGTCAATGGAGGGATGTATAAAACAGATATAAATGGCTTAAGAATACACTTAATTTGATAAGCACTGAGAAATGTATACAGTTGTTGAATAATTATATTGTACACTTGAAACTAATATAACACCACATGTTAATTATACTTGAATTAGAAAAAAGAAAACAATGATGCTTGGTGAGCTGGGCATGGGATTTGGGGAGATAAGTGTCTGGCTGTGATACCTTAGCTTCAGTCCTTGGCTCTCTGTGTTTTTTTAAAGATGTATTAATTTATTTGAGAGAGAGAGAGAGAGATAGAGAAAATGTGTGTGAGCTTGGGTAGAAGCAGAGGGAGAGGGAGAGAGAGAATCTTAAGCAGGCTCCACACTTGGCACCAAGACCAAGGTGGAACTTGAACCCAGGACCCTGAGATCATGACTTAAACCAAAATCAAGAGTCAGACATCAGGGGATCCCTGGGTGGCGCAGCGGTTTGGCGCCTGCCTTTGGCCCAGGGTGCGATCCTGGAGACCCGGGATCGAATCCCACATTGGGCTTCCGGTGCATGGAGCCTGCTTCTCCCTCTGCCTGTGTCTCTGCCTCTCTCTCTCTCTCTCTCTCTGTGACTATCATAAATAAATAAAAAATTTAAAAAAAAAGAGTCAGACATCAAACTGACAGAGCCACCCAGGCACTCAGCTTTCTGTGTTTTTGTAAGGACATCATTCTTCTATGGGTTTGGAGGAGGGGTACTGAAGTCAGGAGTACTGGATGGTATTCTAATAACTTATCTTGTAGCAGCCATAGAGATAGGTCACCCCCTGAGGAAGAGGACAAGATATGCTCTGAGGAAGTGGATTCTTGGTCAGTCATCCAAGGAGGAGGGTCTTGGGCATGTGGAGGGGGAGACTCTACCTCTATTAGAATCTCCCTCTCTTGGATCTAGACCTTAAAAAGGGAACTGTATGGATATGAGCTTCAGAATGGGGACAATAAGATAATGTGGAAGACAGAATAATGGCACCCCCAAAGATGTCCATATCCTAATCCCTGAAACCTTTGAATATGTTACCTTAACATGGCAAAACAGACTTTGCAGATGTAACTAAGTTAAGGATCTTAAAGTAAGGAGATTACCCTGGATTATGTGGGTGGACCCAATGTAATTACTAAGGGTCCGTAAAAGAGGGAAGGAGGAGATCAGAGTCATATCTGCCAATAGAAGCAGAGTTTGGAGTGATGAGGCCACCAGCCAAGGAATTCAGGAAGCTGGTAAAAACAAAAAGGCAATAAAATAGGTTCTCCCCCAGAGCCCACCAAAAGAATACAGTCTTGCTGACACGTCAATTTTAGCCCACTAACTTCCAACCTCTAGAACTAGGAGTTAATAAATTTGTGTTTCTTCAAGCCAAAAAGACAAAAAACAAAAACAAACAAAAACCTTAATTAACTTCTCAATGTTGGTGTGGCAATATCTTAATTCTTCAGAAGTTATCATAACTCAATGTAAATCCTCAACAAGCCCTAATTTTATTTTATTTCCCCAAATTTTTGTTATTTGAAAAAATCAGCATTTAGAATGTCGTATCTACCACCTAACAAGCTTTCAGTTGTTGAAAGATACACTGAAATAAAGTGTTTAATGGGATTTGATAACCATCTTCTTGTTTTTTAAATTACTTTTTTTTAAAAAGTAGAAATGGAACATCCAGTTGGCAGCTAAAAGCTTTTCCCTAAAATTCCTAGAATCAAGGTTCTTTCCATAGTGTATATGGTATAATCAATTTTTTAAAAGTAAGAACTGATAAGGCTAGAAATGAAGTTGGTAGCAACTATTGCCAAGAAAGTGAATAAGTTTTTGATGTTCCCAAGAATATGCTCTGCTGCACAGAAGTCTGTGAACTACTGACCCTAAGATTAAAATACTAATATGCATCTGTTAAATGGATAAGCTTCTCTTTTCTTACAGTCAGAAGACATTGAATCCTTGATTCCTAAAGGATTGTCAGAGTTTACAAAACAGCAAATTCGCTATATTCTGAAGGTGAGATGGGGTCAAGAGTGGGTATGAGATCAACAATGACAACTAGCCAAGGATGCTTCCATTAATTAAGAACAGAAAGTTCTAAATAAAAATCTTGTTTCACAAGAGTTGATTATACTTTGATTAAACAAGTGTTGCATTATAGTTTGTTTAGACTGTTACTCATATCAAATACCTTAGCATTTAGTTAAGCTTTCTAGAAGTACTGTTCTCTGCCATAGAATGGCCCTATTCTCTCCTCCCTGCTATAGCACAACTTGACTCTAATTTATAGCTTTGCCCTTATCTTCTCCATTTTCCTCTACCCCTCCCCATCCCAGCCCTTGTTGGTGAGAGTTGGGAAAGACCAGTGCCTTGCTTTTTCTGATTTGTGGAATGACAGAGACTACTGGAGCAGTGAATTTCCTTACAATAAAGGAAGAAACAGAATATAGGTGCTAAAGGAATATGGCTCAAGAGTACATCTTTTTGCAAGAAAAGATTGCAAAGATAAATGGATCAAGTTTTTTTCTCACTCTGTAGATCTCTGTTTTTAATTGGTATATTTAGACCAAGTTGTAATTATTGATGTTAAGACTAGCTGTGCTATTTTTATTTTTTGTTTTCTGTTTGAGGTTTCTTTGTTTTTGGGGTTTTTTTGGGGGGGTTGTGTTTTTTGGTTGTGTTTTTTGTTTATTTCCTGTTTTCTTGTCTTGCTTTCTTATGGATTAATTGAAAATGTTTTAGAGTTCCATTTTTATTTATCTCTGGTACTTTTGAGTGATCTCACTATAACCTTTTTTTATATAATAAATTTATTTTTTATTGGTGTTCAATTTGCCAACATACACAATAACACCCAGTGCTCATCCTGTCAAGTGCCCCCCTCAGTGCCCGTCACCCATTCACCCCCACCCCCCGCCCTCCTCCCCTTCCACCACTCCTAGTGCATTTCACAGAGTTAGGAGTCTTTATGTTCTGTCTCCCTTTCTGATATTTCCTACCCATTTCTTCTACCTTCCCTTCTATTCCCTTTCACTATTATTTATATTCCCCAAATGAATGACACCATATCATGTTTGTCCTTCTCTGATTGACTTATTTCACTCAGCATAATACCCTCCAGTTCCATCCACGTTGAAGCAAATGGTGGGTATTTGTCATTTCTAATGGCTGAGTAATATTTCATTGTATACATAAACCACATCTTCTTTATCCATTCATCTTTCGATGGACACCGAGGCTCCTTCCACAGTTTGGCTATTGTGGACATTGCTGCTATAACCTTTTTATTGGTTGCTCTAAGAATTACATTATATATCCACAATTTATCCCAGTGTATTGGTGTCAACATGTTGTCAGTTTCAGTGACTGTAGAGAATTTTGCTTCCTTTATCACCCTTTACTCTCCACATTTATAACATAATTATCTTAAATATTTCCTCTTTGTGAATTGAGTTCCACTGTAGAATTTATGCTTCAACCATCAAATATAATTTAGAAAATGCAAGAGAAGGAAAGCCTGCTTTGTTTACTGATATTATTACTTCTGATGCTATTTCTTTTTGATGTTCTAAATTCCTTTCTTTATCATTTTATTTCTCTTCAGAAACCTCCCTTCACTCTTTTTTTTAGGGTGGGTCTGTTAGTGACAATGTTTTTTTCAGTTTTCACCATCTGATAATGTTGTGATTTCCCCTTCATTCCTAAAGGATATTTTCATTAGATACAGAATTTGTAGCTGACAGTTCTTTTCTTTCAGCACTTAAAAATGGTTTGCTATGTCCCTCTGGCCATTAAGATTTCTGATTAAAAACATGCTGTCATTTAAATTGTTATTACCAATAGTTAAGATTTCTCTTGCTGTTTTCAAGGTTTAAAATTTTAAAATTATCTTTAGTTTTAAGAAGTTTGACTGATTTGTCTGGGGGTTGATTTCTTTGGGTTTATTCTGTTCCAGATTTGCTCAACTTCTTGAATCTATATTTATGCTTTTTGCTAGCTTGGGGAATTTACAGCCATCATTTCCTAAAATACTTTTTCAGCTCCACCCTCTTGCTTATTTTTTTCTAGGATTTGTATGATATGTATGTTAGCTATGTCTTATACTCTTACAGGTCTATGAGGCTCTGTTCAATTATTTTCCAGTCGATTTTCTCTCTGATGTTCTGATAAAGTACTTACTAGTCCATCCGTTGAGGTTTTTGGTTTTTTAGCTATTGAGTTTTACAATTCTAGCATTTCTATTTAGTTATTCTTTACATCTTCTATTTCTTTTCTGAGATTTTCTGTTTTGTGGCTTAGACTTTCGATTTTTAAATCTGTTTGTAATTTTTTACTGGATTATGTTTATGATGGGTGCTTAAAATCCTTATCAGACAATTCTAATATTTGTTACCTTGATGTTGGCATTTGTTAATTCTTTTTCTTATCAAGGTAAGATTTTCCTGGTTCTTAGAATGACTAGTGATTTTTTTAAAGATTTTATTTATTTATTCATAAGAGACACAGAGAGAGGCAGAGACATAGGCAGAAGGAGAAGCAGGCTCCATGCAGGGAGTGCGATGTGGGACTCCAGGATCACGCCCTGAGCTGAAGGCAGATGCTCAACCACTGAGCCACTCAGGTGTCCTGATTAGCGATTTTTTTTTGATTAGCGATTTTTTAAATGAAACCTGGATATTTTGAGTGTTATAATTCTGAATCTATTCAAATCTTCTGTTTTAGTAGGCCTCCTTTGGTACTGAAATAACAGAGGATATGGGGGCACTGTTTGTTACTGCCAGCTGGGTGTGGAAGTCCACCCCACTTAGCCTTTGTTGACATTGATCAAGGGCGGACCTCCTTGTTTCTCTTGGGCAAGGATAGAAATTTTGATTTCCTATGAGGGCCCCACTGATTTCACCATGGTTTGGATGTAGAAAGGTGCCTCATTACTGTTTTCAAGTTGGCCTCCACTGACACTGCAAGGTTAGTGACCTCATTTCTGTTGAGCAGTGATGAAAGTCTGGATTCATCATTGAGAAACCTCTGACATCACCCCAGCAGGAAGATGAAACCATATAATATTACTACTGGATAGCATGAAAATCTAGGCTCCTTTCATACTCTCAACTGAACAACAGTGCTTGGGGTTCTCATTTTTTCCACGGTGGGGTGAAGGTTCCCTATCTCTACCCTGCCTTCTCTAACACCAACCTGGCAAGTAGTGTTGGTGGACCTTTTTAGAGCCTGGTGAGGGAGAAAGTCTAGGTTCCCTTCTTGGCCTTTGATGGTTTGGGTCGAAATAAAGTTGAAGGTTATTCTATGTGGTGTTTGGCTGGAATAGAGTGGTTATTATCTAAAAGTTCTCTGCCTTGCTAGGTTGCTCTTTTATTGGTCCCTTGGCTAGAGAAAGCAAACTTTTCTAAAGACTTCTGCTGTCTGTACCCAGTGGGGTTTCTGAGTTACTGACTTCTCCAATACTGGCTTCTGTGATACATGAATTAAAAAGAAAGCCCAGGAACTCACTTCTGTGTTATTTTGGGGGTCACAATGTTCCTAACCAGACTTCCTTCTTTCCACCTTACTGTGTCTTTTTATGTTTGGTTTATACATAGTAATGTCCAGAGCTTTTAGTTATACTTAGAAGGAATAAGGAAAATATTTCTACTCCATCTTGCCAGAAATGAAGTTGCTTGTTTTTAAAACCATTTTTTAAAAGAAATGAGTTTAATCTATTGAAAGGGATTTTCTTTCACCTCTTTAAATTTGAGATGTTTCTATACTTCAAGGTTAAACTTAATTAGTATCATCTTCTCACCTCAGGAAAAATCCTGGCATTTGGCGGCATACTTAAGGATATGCATTTTATTACTTATCATAGCTATGATATCTTCAGGAATACTGATTGTAACATACTTGTAATAACATATTTGTGCATGTTAAAATGCCTTGTATCACTATTCTGATATTGTTATATAAAAAATAAATCTGTTAATAAGTTTGCCTATGGGAACAGAAAAATAACACTACTATCACTTATATTGCCTGTAACTGCTAGTAAATACAAACCATCAATCCTTTTCTTCCTCCAGATGAGGGGTATGTCTGATAAATCACTCCGGCTAGTGCTGTCCACATTCAGCAACTTACGGGAGGAGCTTGGACATCTTCAAAATGACTTGACAGTAACACTTATTTTGATTTTTCTTTACAAAGCCTTCCTAGTTCCTAATTTCCTAACATAGAAATTAAGTCATTCAGTCTAACCTTTCAAAATTTAATACAATGCAGCAATATTATGCTCACCCAGACATAGTTATTGTCTTGAAAAGATTAATTGAGGTTCAAAGAGGAGATAAGAGCTCTCCAATGTCAAAATGAAAGTTGGGTATGCACTTATTATTTAGTTTACCACTAAGGTAATTTAATACCTATAGCCAGGAAGTATCTTGAAAAATTAGAATAATATAACTCATTGAATGGGAATTTCCCCTTTTTTCTGTAATAATAAAGCATACTCTGAATTTCTCTGAATACTTGAAAACTTCTTTCTCAAGGAAGTTAACCTTTTCTATTTTCCATTTTAGTTGGTGTTCTTGGTGTCATCAGCTATATACATTCAGAATACCTTCCATATAATGAATAACTCCCTGAAAACTGCAGTGTGTTATTTCATTTCTGGGTTCTGATGAACATATTTAGACTCTAAAAAAGTAACCACCTGCTAGGGTTAACAAGGAAGCTTTGTAGATTGAGACAAAACATTAAAATAATTTGAAGATTCTGCTTCATTGAACTTAGAATTAGTTCATCAAAAGGTCTCTTAGAATGCAGTTTTTTAAGTTTCATCCATTTGTATCCTATATTTTGCTTGACTTTTTAGAATTCTGTTTTATCGGGCAACTGCAAATGAAACAAGTGCTTATTTAAGCCTTCCAATGTAAATGAGTCTTTGTATTATGTGTTGACAAGTTTCTGTAATTCTGAATCTTAAGAAGTAATTTTGCTTTTAGTCACTGGAAAATGACAAGATAAGACTTGAGAAAGACTTGGCATTCAAAGAAACTCAAATAAAAGAGTATGAAGAACTCTTGGCATCGGTGAGAGCAAATAATCGCCAACAACAGGTAAGTTGATATCTTCATTGATGATAAACTAAATTGATAGCTTTTCATATCCAGAATAACTGACACCTTATAGTTATGACATAGAATCCAAAAGGAATTAAAGTATGATGGAAAAATTTATTCATATGAGAATTGAGTGGCTTTATCTCCAATGACTGAAAGCCTTCTCATAAAAACAGATAACCTTGTATACTTTAGATATAAAGTATGTACAATCCACAATTATCTGTGCTGTTGGGTAACAAGAATTGTATAAATATTTAAAAGCTAAGTCCACTCATTTAATCTACTAATGTGTTGATTAAAAAAAAAAGGTTTTGTAGGTCTTAACACACATTTGTGCAGTGAATAAGTGAATTAACTCTAGAAATACTTTCCAGATGTCTGAGCTGAGATAATTTCTAAGAAATTGTAATGAGTCTCTAAGGCTTATCCTTTCCTAATCTTCATTTCCATGACAATCCCAATTTTTTTTCTGTTTCCACACAAATAATCAGTCATTTTGGCACCTACTAAAAGGCAAAATAAAGTATTGTCAAAGAGCATTAAGAGTCAGATTACAAAATTGAAACACTGAAAATTCATCCAGTCTTGATTCCTTCTCAAAATAAGCGTATCAGACTAGGGGCAAGAATCTTTTTTCATGACTGATTTAACTTACCATTTGAGGATAACTAAGAAAACTGGGCATAGAAAAATATTTGCTTTATTCCATTGAATTAACCAATTAAGAGAGCACTCTCCTGCAAAAAAAAAATGTGGAATCCTTTTGTCTTATTTACTTTGTCTTCTTTATAGCAAGGATTTCAAGACTCAACCTCAAAATGCCAAGCATTGGAAGAAAACAATCTCTCTCTTCGACATACACTATCAGACATGGAATATAGACTAAAAGAACTGGAATACTCTAAGTGTAATTTAGAACAAGAGAATAAAAATCTTAGAATACAGGTATTAAAATTTTATTTTAAATATATGTTATTGCCTTATTTATACCATTGTATAGTATATATCCTTTTCCTTTTTTAAAAAAAGACTTTTTATTTGAGAGAGAGAAAGCCAGAGACAGAGCATGAACAGAGGGGAAGAAGCAGGGGGAGAAGCAGAGAGAGAAGCAGACTCTCCACTGAGCAGGGACCCCAACAGTGGGCTTGATCCCAGCATCTTAGGATCATGACCTGAGCCAAAGGCAGACGCTTAAACAACTGAGCCACCCAGGCACCTTTATATATCCTATTTCTCTTGAGAAAATAAATGGACTGCTTTCTGACGATTTCATGTAGTTATGTCTCATCTCTCTACCATTTGAGCTATATAGCACAATTCCTAAAAATAGCTCTTATTATTTCAATGCCCTTACTTAATCATGTAATTTTTATCTAATAATAAGTCTTATAATATAATATGTATTTCCTTTATAACAATCCAATTACAGAACATTATTTTGCCTTGTGTAGGTTTCTGAGACTTGCACAGGCTCAATGCTGCAGATGAAAATGGATGAGATTGGCAACCATTACATGGAGATGGTAAAAAACTTAAGAAAGGAGAAAGATAGAGAGATCTGCAAGCTAAGGGTATGTTGATCCTATAATGCATAAATACACAGGTCAGCACAAACTTTCTAATAAAATAATGATGGTTTCAAGTGTAAAGCTACAAGGAAAAAGCAACTGAAGGTAGAGTCAGGAATATGACATAGAACCTTTTGTTTAAATACATATTACTTTGTGTAGAATATTGCAAGTTGTTTTCTAATTTAGGTTAATCTTTTCTAAAAAAGCAAAAGACATAAAGTTCAGTGTTTTGGTTTATTTATTTTTATTTATTTAATTATTTATTAGTGGTTGAGAGGAACCCTTCATGATTTTACTTAAAGTGTGCTTGTGCAGTCAAGAGCAACATTTGAGATTATCTAGCAAAGCTACTGTTTGATTTATTAAAAATCCTCACTTGATCTTGAAGGATGATATAAATAGTAAGAACTTTGTCATGCACAAGGATAAGAACAGTGTTGAATTATGTAAGTGTAATTCACATCAAAATTAGTGTGATATTTGTGAGAATAAGTATACATTGCCTTATCTTGTAATTCTAGATCAAATTGACTAACTCTTAATTTACTGATTCCTACATATAGTTAAATATACTTAAGTATTAAATGGGAAAAAACAATCATAGTTTTTTCTCTCCAAATATCATGGTAGAATTTCTTCCAAAAAAACAAAATAAAACAAAATATATTTTGTGCAAGACTGCCAATTTTTCTAGCAGATTTCCTTCACTTGTTTCTTTTTCATCCCAACATTACTAATAACACTTTAACTGAACAGCCATTTATGCACGCATAATGTAGCAAAGAGGAAAATGGACAGAATTTGGAGTCAGAATAACTATCTTGGAGTTGCAGCTATGTTGCTTACTAGTTGTGGGACTGTATGTCATGTAACCTTTCCCTTAATCTCATTTACCTGTTTTGTAAATAAGGATTTTAATAATACTTATTTCACAGGGCTTCTGTAAGAATCGAGATAAATCATGCAAGAGGAATATTTTGTGAACTGCAAATCACAATATAAAATTGGTTATTATTAGTGAGTTTTCCTTAATTTGTATTTGAAGGAATCTAAAGTACCTATTTTCTTAGCTTTATTTTAATTCTTGTTGCTTAGGACTGTTACTTAAGTACTGCCTAGCCCTAAATAGTAAAAGCTATCTTTAAAAAATTGAGAAATTCCTAATTAGCATTTTAATTTGTATTTTCCATTCCTCAAACTCTACAAATGTTCACAACTATTGGTACTTTGATCTTCATTTCATAACTTTCTGTATGACTTTGTAACTGAACCTCTTAGAACTCAATTACCTATTTCACAAATCAGATTTAGAATTCTTCTTTATTTCAAATCACTAGACTCAGTTAAATCAGTACCAAAAAGATGTTTCAAGAAGAGAAGGAAGTTACAGTGAATTTCAATTCAAGCTTCATGAACTGACAAGCTTGCTGGAAGAGAAGGATTCCCTTATAAAGCATCAATCAGAGGTAAGAAGGGAAGTGGTAGAGGTACAGAGGAACTCAGTTAAGTATGATAAATATTTTCCATGAACTAGAGAAGGGCACATTTCCAAAACACACTTTATTCATGAAGTAGAATGTAACTGACTGTGAAGAAGTAGAAGATTCATATTTTGGGAGATATAATTCAAATGAAAGCAAGAAATGAAACCAAAAAAGAGTGTTATTGTGCATTTAATATTTTTAATATTATATCTTATTAGCAATGAAACTCCCAGTATGACTATGAGCTCTTTACTCTTTATTAGCTGCTTTAGCAAAGGACTGTTTTATATTCTTTGTATCTGTAGCATGTGGCCCAGGATCTGTTATAAAATGGTGGCTAATGTTACATTGCTGTTATTGAACTAATGTTGCTTGCAGTAATGATCAGTGATAGACCTTCTGCTAGGAAACAATACCTACTTCCACACTGAAGTTTCAGTACTTGTAAAACATACATTTTCAAGATTCTTATGAAAAAAATTTTCTCATCTTTGTCTTGAGAACCATGCCCATTCAATATCATGTTATCCTTTAAATATAGAAATTCTATGCCAGTTATTGAATTCCTGCACAGGCATATTATGTAACTTATTAGGTACCATGAAGCAATAATATATGGTATTCAACAGGTGGAATTGGAACATTCTATGTCCAAGCTAAAAGGGAAGGAGAAAATTATTCTTAGTAACCTTGTAAAATGATGAAACATACACCTTACCTCATGTTTCTACAGTTTTGAAATAATTATATTTTCTTTTATTTGTAAGGAACTTTCAAAGTTGAGACAAGAAATTTATTCATCTCATAACCAAATCTCCAGTGGTGGAAGGACTACTATCACCACTAAAAAGTAATGTATTTTTAAATGAAATTTGAATATGACTTTGGCTATTATTTAATCCCAGTTATAGCATGTTTAATTTATATATATATTTCTAGTTAGTTAACAATAGTGTAATATTAGTTTCAGAGGTAGAATTTAGTGATTCATTACTTACATATAACACCAAGTGCTTTTATTTAAGTACAGATGACACCCAAAGGTACATTAATTTCAGGTGTACAATGCAGTGATTCGATTTCTGTCTATGTTATGCTTTGCTCACCACAAGTATAGCTACCATCAGTCACCATGAAACATTATTACAATATCATTGACTAAATCACTATGCTGTGCCTTTTATTCCTGTGACTTATTCATTTCATAACTAGAGGCCTGTATCTCTCATACCCCTTCACCCATTTTGCCCATGCCCCAGCCACCTGCTTTCTGGCAATCATCAGTTTGTTCTCTGTATTTATAGGTTTGATTCTGCATTTTGTTTAGTTGCTGTTTTTAGCTTCCATATATGAATGAAATGATATTTTTCTTTCTTTATCTGACTTATTCCACTTTACATAATACCCTTTAGTTCCATCCAGTTGTTCCAAATGGCAAGATCTAATCCTATTTTTTGGCTGAGTAATATTCTATTATATATCACTGCTTCCTTATCTAGTTCCCTTATAAATGGACACATATTGCTTCCATATCTTGCTTAAATAATGCTGCAATAAGCATAGGGGTGCATATATCATGTCAAATTAGTACTTTTGTTTTGTTGGGTAAGTACTCAGTAGTGGAATTACTGGATCATATGGTATTTCTATTTTTAATTTTTTTATGGAAACTAAGCTGATTTCCGTGGTGGCTGTACTAGTTTATATCCGCATCAACACTGCATGAGGGCTCCTTTTTCTCCACATCCTTGACAACACTTGTTATATCTTGACTTTTTTATTTTATTTTATTTTATTTTTTTAATAAATTAATTTTTATTGGTGTTCAATTTACCAACATACAGAATAACACCAGTGCTCATTCCGTAAAGTATCCCCCTTAGTGCTCGCCACCCATTCACCCCCACCCCCAGCCCTCCTCCCCTTCCACCACCCCTAGTTCATTTCCCAGAGTTAGAAGTCTTTATGTTCTGTCTCCCTTTCTGATATTTCCCACATTTCTTCTCCCTTTCCTTATATTCACTTTCACTATTATTCATATTCCCCAAAATGAATGAGAACATACACTGTTTGTCCTTCTGAGATTGACTTACTTCACTCAGCATAATACCCTCCAGTTCCATCCACGTTGAAGCAAATGGTGGGTATTTGTCGTTTCTAATGGCTGAGTAATATTCCATTGTATACATAAACCACATCTTCTTTATCCATTCATCTTTCGATGGACACCGAGGCTCCTTCCACAATTTGGCTATTGTGGACATGGCTGCTAGAAACATCGGGGTGCAGGTGTCCCGGCGTTTCATTGCATCTGAACCTTTGGGGTAAATCCCTAACAGTGCAATTGCTGGGTTGTAGGGCAGGTCTATTTTTAACTCTTTGAGGAACTTCCACACAGTTATCCAGAGTGGCTGCACCAGTTCACATTCCCACCAACAGTGTAAGAGTGTTCCCATTTCTCCGCATCCTCTGCAACATTTGTGGTTTCCTGCCTTGTTAATTTTCCCCATTCTCATTGGTGTGAGGTGGTATCTCATTGTGGTTTTGATTTGTATTTACCTGATGGCAAGTGATGCATAGCATTTTCTCATGTGCATGTTGGCCATGTATATGTCTTCCCTTGTGAGATTTCTGTTCATGTCTTTTGCCCATTTCATGATTGGATTGTTTGTTTCTTTGCTGTAGAGTTTATAATAAGTTCTTTATAGATTTTGGAAACTAGCCCTTTATCTGATATGTTATTTGCAAATATCTTCTCCCATTCTGTAGGTTGTCTTTGAGTTTTGTTGACTGTTTCCTTTGCTGTGCAAATGCTTCTTATCTTGATGAAGTCCCGATAGTTCATTTTTGCTTTTGTTTCTTTTGCTATCGTGGATGTATCTTGCAAGAAGTTACTGTGGCCAAGTTCAAAAAGGGTGTTGCCTGTGTTCTCCTCTAGGATTTTGATGGAATCTTGTCTCACATTTAGATCTTTCATCCATTTTGAGTTTATCTTTGTGTATGGTGAAAGGGAGTGGTCTAGTTTCATTCTTCTGCATGTGGATGTCCAATTTTCCCAGCACCATTTATTGAACAGACTGTCTTTCTTCCAGTAGATAGTCTTTCCTCCTTTATCGAATATTAGTTGACCATAAAGTTGAGGGTCCACTTCTGGGATTTCTATTCTGTTCCATTGATCTATGTGCCTGTTTTTGTGCCAGTACCACACTGTCTTGATGACCACAGCTTTGTAGTACAACCTGAAATCTGGCATTGTGATGCCCCCAGATATGGTTTTTTTTTTTTAAATTCCCCTGGCTATTCGGGGGTCTTTTCTGATTCCACACAAATCTTAAAATAATTTGTTCTAACTCTCTGAAGAAAGTCCATGGTATTTTGATAGGGATTGCATTAAACGTGTAAATTGCCCTGGGTAACATTGACATTTTCACAATATTAATTCTTCTAAACCATGAGCATAGAATATTTTTCCATCTCTTTGTGTCGTCCTCAATTTCTTTCAGAAGTGTTCTATAGTTTTTAGGGTATAGATCCTTTAACACTTTGGTTAGGTTTATTCCTAGGTATCTTATGCTTTTGGGTACAATCATCAATTGGATTGACTGCTTAATTTCTCTTTCTTCAGTCTCATTGTTAGTGTATGGAAATGCCACTGATTTCTGGGCATTGATTTTGTATCCTGCCATGCTACCAAATTGCTGTATGAGTTCTAGCAATCTTGGGGTGGAGGCTTTTGGGTTTTCTATGTAGAGTATCATGTCATCGGCGAAGAGGGAGAGTTTGACTTCTTTGCCAATTGAATGCCTTTAATGTCTTTTTGTTGTCTGATTGCTGAGGCTAGGACTTCCAATACTATGTTGAATAGCAGTGGTGAGAGTGGACATCCCTGTCTTGTTCCTGATCTTAGGGGAAAGGCTCCCAGTGCTTCCCCATTGAGAATGATATTTGCTGTGGGCTTTTCGTAGATGGCTTTTAAGATGTCGAGGAAAGTTGCCTCTATCCCCACACTCTGAAGAGTTTTGATCAGGAATGGATGCTGTATTTTGTCAAATGCTTTCTCTGCATCTAATGAGAGGATCATGTGGTTCTTGGTTTTTCTCTTGCTGATATGATGAATCACATTGATTGTTTTACGAGTGTTGAACCAGCCTTGTGTCCCGGGGATAAATCCTACTTGGTCATGGTGAATAATTTTCTTAATGTGTTGTTGGATCCTATTGGCTAGTATCTTGTTGAGAATTTTTGCATCCATGTTCATCAGGGATATTGGTCTGTAATTCTCCTTTTTGGTGGGGTCTTTGTCTGGTTTTGGAATAAGGTGATGCTGGCCTCATAGAACGAGTTTGGAAGTACTCCATCTCTTTCTATCTTTCTAAACAGCTTTAGTAGAATAGGTATGATTTCTTCTTTAAACGTTTGATAGAATTCCCCTGGGAAGCCATCTGGCCCTGGACTCTTGTGTCTTGGGAGGTTTTTGATGACTGCTTCAATTTCCTCCCTGGTTATTGGCCTGTTCAGGTTTTCTATTTCTTCCTGTTCCAGTTTTGGTAGTTTGTGGCTTTCCAGGAATGCATCCATTTCTTCTAGATTGCCTAATTTATTGGCGTAGAGCTGTTCATTATATGTTTTTAAAATCGTTTGTATTTCCTTGGTGTTGGTAGTGATCTCTCCTTTCTCATTCATGATTTTATTAATTTGAGTCTTCTCTCTCTTCTTTTTAATAAGGCTGGCTAATGGTTTATCTATATTATTAATTCTTTCAAAGAACAAACTCCTGTTCTATTGATCTGTTCCACAGTTCTTCTGGTCTCAATTTCGTTGAGTTCTGCTCGAATTTTAATTAACTCTCTTCTTCTGCTGCTGGGCGTCGGGTCGATTTGCTGCTTCTTCTCTAGCTCCTTTATGTGTAAGGTTAGCTTTTGTATTTGAGTTCTTTCCAGTTTTTGAATGGATGCTTGTATTGCGATGTATTTCCCCCTCAGGACTGCTTTTGCTGCATCCCAAGGATTTTGAACAGTTGTTTCTTCATTCTCATTAGTTTCCATGAATTTTTTAATTCTTCCTTAATTTCCTGGTTGACCCTTTTATCTTTTAGCAGGATGGTCCTTAACCTCCACGTGTTTGATGTCCTTCCAAACTTCTTCTTGTGATTGAGTTTTAATTTCAAGGCGTTATGGTCTGAGAATATGCAGGGGACGATCCCAATCTTTTGGTATCAGTTCAGACCCGATTTGTGGCCCAGTATGTGGTCTATTCTGGAGAAAGTTCCATGTGCACTTGAGAAGAATGTGTATTCAGTTGAGTTTGGATGTAAAGTTCTGTAGATATCTGTGAAATCTATCTGGTCCAGTGTATCATTTAAAGCTCTCGTTTCTTTGGAGATGTTGTGCTTAGAAGACCTATCGAGGGTAGAAAGAGCTAGATTGAAGTCACCAAGTATAAGTGTATTATTATCTAAGTATTTCTTCACTTTGGTTAATAATTCGTTTAAGTATTTGGCAGCTCCCACATTCGGGGCATATATATTGAGGATTGTTAAGTCCTCTTGCTGGATAGATCCTTTAAGTATGATATAGTGTCCCTCTTCGTCTCTCACTACAGTCTTCGGGGTAAATTTTAGTTTATCTGATATAAGGATGGCTACCCCTGCTTTCTTTTGAGAACTATTTGAATGGTAAATGGTTCTCCAACCTTTTATTTTCAAGTTGTAGGTGTCCTTCTGTCTAAAATGAGTCTGTTGTAGACAGCAAATAGATGGGTCCTGCTTTTTTATTCAGTCTGACACCCTGCGCCTTTTGATGGGGTCATTAAGCCTGTTCACGTTCAGAGTTTCTATTGACAGATATAAGT